CCAAGGCCAGGTTGGACACAGGGGCTTGGAGCAAGCTGCTCCAGTGGAAGGTGTCCCTGCCCGTGGCAGGGGCTGGAGCTGGGTGAGCTTTAAGGTCCTCCCAGCAGCTGGTTTGGTTTCAATGTGTGGTTGCATTGGGTGCATTTGCCCTTTGGGCCATCAGAGGGGTCTGATGTGAAGGGTCCCTTATAGGAAACTAAGCTTGGTCTGAACCTCGTGGGTATTCACTGTCCTCTCTCATACAGAGACAACCCCCGTGCATTGGGTTGTATTTGTGTGTTTAGAAGTTAATATGGATTAGTGATGCTCTCCCCAGGTGAACACCCAGCTCTACAGCCTGAAGGAGAAGCAGCAGCTCACAGACCTCATCAGCACCATGCTGGCCTACAACCTCACCTACCACCAGGAGCGCCTGCCCGAGGGCCAGTACGTCTACAAGCTTGACCCGTAAGTCCTGAGGGTGGGAAGAAGGTTTCGGGGTCAGAAATAACCCCCTTGGGTTGAGGCTGGAGCTGAGTTTCTTGTAATGGGATTAAAGGAAAGGAAGCATCAGCCTTCGGCTCTGCCGGAGCTGGGAGAGGAGGGAATGATGCTGCTGGGGGCTGGTGGCAAAGGGGAGAGCAGGTCACCTGGGCACACTGCACATAGGTCAATGCAGCCACTGCTAGTGAGTGTACTAACAGTGCCAGCCTTGAGCAGCCCTGCGCTGTAAGTACATAGAGGGCCATAAACGCTCCCGAGGCCTGGGTGAAGTCACACAGACCCCACCACAGGCAGGAGCAGTGCTGATGCCTTCCTGGTACAAAGTTAATTACAGAAATTAGCCTCTGTTAAATGAAGCAGCTGGGCCTGATTACAGGGAAGCTCCTTATTATTTATCATGTTCCCTGTGGAAAAGCCTGCAGGGGCTGTATGAACTGTATGAACCATCCTGTCCTGCCCTCCCCACGCCAGGCTGTGGCCATGGGGAACGTGTGGGATGGTGGGAGCCATGTGGCACAAGCAAGGAGGTTGCTTTGCTTTGCTTTGCCTTGCTTTGCTTTGCTTTTATTGTGAATTCTGACCTATCTCCTGGCTGTGCGCAGCAATGCTGGGGACCACAGGGGTGTCACCTCCTGGTGGTACCTGTGAGGAGCATCCCAGCATCTCTCAAGCTGTTCTCGACAGCAAAACCTGTGTTTCCTCTTTAAAGCTTCTTAAATCAGTTCTGACAGCTAATTTCCAAATGGCTGCGAGTGTGTCTGACACAGGACTTTGCTCCCTTTATTTGAAGGGGAATATTATTGGATGTGAATAATGCGTGATACATTTATAGCTGGCAGAGGAACGGGCCCAGCTGGCTCCTTGGTGCTGGGCTTTTGCTGTCCTGAAGCAGGCCCTAACTGCAGAGCTGGAGCACCAAGTGGTTAAGAATAAAACTGCTCTGATGAGCCCAAATTACTGCTCATGGCTGTATCTCAATTAAGCAGCTCCCTGCAGGCACCTCGGGGGTCATGCGAAGGGTTGCGCTGCTGCTCGTGCCCAAGCTGTGATGTGGCTGGGTGGTTTTCAGAGCAATCTGTTCGGCACAGACCCGCCTGCAGTTCCCTCTTCTTGCTTTAAAACCGAGATGAAAACGGATGTAATCCCTCTTGAACTCAGCTGAGGAGCCCTGCAGCATCCCGGCTCCACACCGCCAGCACCATTCACTGGGCATCATCTGATGCTGCTGTTGTACTCGGAGAGAGCAGGGATGGGGGACCTGAGGCGCCGTGACCAGGGTCATACAGGAGGGGTGACAGGTCTCCCTGTGCCTGTATCAGGCTGCAGTTTGCATAAGGCTGTGTTATTTCCAGTACTGATGTGTTTTGTCTCCGTGATTCAGGAATGTGGAGGACGTGTGCCGGTTCCCGGACCTGCCGTCTCGCAGGCAGCTCAGCTACCAGGCCAAGCAGCTCATCGCCAGGGAGATAGAGCTGGAGAAGATGAGGAGGACGGAGGCTCTGCTGCAGGCACGGAGCCTGGGAGAGGTAGGGATCGTGGTGCCATTGATAGGGATAAAGTCCTTCGGGCTGCTGAAGGGAGGAGGGCGTTCCAAAGCCTGTGGCTTTTGCTCTGCAGATGGAAATCCGGGATTAAACTCCCCCAGCCGCAGCCGTGCTGCACATCTGCCTTCAGGGCAGCACATGTGTGCTGGGTGATGATCCCAGAGGGCTCATCCTTCTGCAGGAATTCTGGAAGGAAATGCTCACTGGGGGTTAAAGCTTTGAACTGGGTTGTGAGGAGACAGGGGTTTTAGTTCCTCTGGATATGATTTTATGTGTCTGTGAGGGAATTGAGCTGCTCTCTCCTGCCTGCACGTTCCCTTCTGCTTCGCTTTGATGCTCCCCAAAGTCCCAAAGCCTCCAGGAGGAGCACAGTAACTGCCCCCTGCCAAAACCCTCCATGGAGCAGCAGGCAGGAGGTGGAAATGGGTGGAAAAGGCTCACGTGAGGCTGGTGCCTGCCCTGCCCTTGTGCCACAGGGATAATGAATCCCTGAGAGCCTCCTCTTGCAGCAGAAGGGCTTTCTCAGGGGATGTGTGGGGCAAAGAGATGCTGCAAAAGCATCTCTGAAGGCTCCTTGTTTACATGGGAGGTCCCAGGGAAAGGGATTGCAAACTAACACGTTCCCAGAGCGCTGCTGGGGCTGATCCTATGCGCTGCTGAGAGCCAGGAGGTGATGGAAAAATCCTTGCAGGTCACTTGGATATTGCAATAAACCCAGCAGCAAGCAGAGGGGGGGTGCGGGATGGGTGACAGGGCAACGTCCTGCCCTCAGGCTGTGCATTGCTTGGGGGGGGGTGCCCAAAAGGCCCCTCACTCATGGCTCTTCTCCCTGCAGGAGCCCGGGAAGAGCTTTGGCAGGGCAGGAGAGAACATGGACACGGTGCCCCCCAACCACCAGCAGCGCCTGGAGCACATCGTCAAGAGGGCAGCTGTGGAGGACAAGGTGAGGGGGCTGCAATTCCCACCTCATTCCCTCCCATCACGTTCCTGGCTGCTGGAGACTCCCTGTCTCTGTCGATATCTGTTGATATTTGGTATAGTTTCTTTTAATAGAAGAGCTCAGCACCATGTGTCCCGTAACTGCATCCTCGCTGGGGTTACAGCATGGGGATGAGTTAGAGCTGGGTGACAGTTATGGATGTGCCCTGGGAAGCTTTCATGGCTGGGGAAGGAGATGGGGATGTTTTGTGCTAAAATAGCTGAATTTTGGCTCTGCAGAAGCCGTGGGATTGGAGGAAGACCTGGCCATGAGGTGCGGGGTGTGAACACAGGGGAAACCACCCTAAGTGAGGCATGCATCCCACTGTGGGCATCCCAGTAGCATCCAGAAGTGGTCCCCTGCTTCCCTCCCTCTCCACAGGCTCAGCATCAGGATCCTGCCTGCCTATAGAACACACTTGAGCACGGTGAACCCTCGAGTGTGTGTTTCCCACCCCATTTTTGAACGCTGTTTGCATTTCCCTGTGGGTTTGCATTCAGCTCCTGCTCCGTGGCTTCCTCCAGCACCAGGTGCTTGAATGGGGAAGGAGCCGGAGCAGCCCTGAGGGCGGGGTGATGGTCTCACCAGTGTCCAGCCTTGCACAGAGGGAAACTCCGCTTGCTTTTGGCTGTGTTTGAATGTGATCTGTGGATGCGGGCGCTGACAGAGCCGCGCTCACCTTCTGCCTTTTGCTTTTGGCAGCCTGAGAAAGACTTCTTCGGGCGGCCCATTCAGCGGCAGCAGAAAGCCACAGCCCCAGGTAGGTGGCAGAGGAATGGGGTGGTTGTGGATGCTGCGTTCCCTGTGCCAGGACCCCATGCAGGGGCTGTGTCCCCAAGCACTGCAGCCAGGGGACATCCATGGGATGGAAAGGGGATATTAAGTGAACAGACCCCAGTGCAGGAGGCAGGGGGTGCCTATGGGGTTGTGACAGTGGTCAGCTGGGGGTTGTGGGTGCTGCAAGTGTTTACAGGATCCTGGTGCCTAAAGGGGCTCAAGGAAACCTGGAGAGGGGCTTGGGACAAGGGCCTGTAGGGCCAGGGCAAGGGGAATGGCTTTAACCTGCCTGAGGGGAGACTGAGATGAGCTCTTAGGCAGAAGCTCTTCCCTGTGAGGGTGCTGAGGCGCTGGCACAGGGTGCCCAGAGAAGCTGTGGCTGCCCCATCCCTGGCAGTGTTCAAGGCCAGGTTGGACACAGGGGCTTGGAGCAAGCTGCTCCAGTGGAAGGGGTCCCTGCCCGTGGCAGGGGTTGAAGCTGGAGGAGCTTTGAGGTTCCTTCCAACCCAAACCATTCCGTGATTCCATGAGTCTATAACATGGGAGCATCAGAAGAGATTCTGCAAGTTTCTGACCTGGATCTTCCCCTGCAGCCCCTCAGGCCTCCAAGGAGGAATCTCTTGAGAACCGGATGGGAAAAGCTGTGGGGAAGAGCGACGTCTGGTTCCGCTTTAATGAAGGGGTTTCCAACGCCGTCAGGAGGAACATCTACATCAAGGACCTGCTCTAGGGGGGCAGCAGCGAAACCATGAACTTAAACCCATGGAACTGAAGGGGAACGATGGCTTTTGGCTTCCTTTTTGGGGTGTGCGTGGTTATTTTGGGGTTATTTTTCTAAGTGCCCACTTGTTTAAGAGAGACATCAAATCTGTATAAGGAAACTAACCATGGAGGCGTGTTCTCTTTATTTCATTTACAAACCCTTCCTCGCTATGTTTTGCCTGGTTGGCTGCAACGAAGAGACCCTGCAATGTACAAAAGAGCATTGAAAATCCCTGAATGTGCTTTATAAAAGTTCCCTTCCTTTCCAAGCTGGAAAAGAGCAGCAGGGGCAGAGGGGATGCCTGAGGCTGGGACTGCAGCCTGAGCCTGGAGGTACCCTTGCTGCTCTGTCCCACCACGCTGCCCACCCCAATGTGCTGTCCCTGTTCCCCCCTATCTAAAATAGCAATGCTTCTACTACTGTAAATAAGAAGCCAAGCTGAGGGTTGGGTTTTGGTTCAGGTTCTCATATTAGGAAGCTGGCTAATATAAAAGTACATTCGGCAAGGGGATAAAGGGGGAGGTTCAAGGGGGGGTCCCTCAGAGGATGCTGCATTTGCCCTTCTCCACCCAAGGGTTGTTTTTCATCAGCTCCGGGTTCAAGAAGGGGTCTTCGGGAATGCCGTCCTCGATCCACTTCACAAACCTGCGGAGATGGGAGTAAAGGGGTGGGCGTTGATCCCAAAGGGGGTCCGTTGGCTTGGGATGCACAGCTGGATGCATTGGGGTGAGCCCAGCTCTGGTGCAGCCTCTACCAGCACATGGGTCCTTTGCTCCCAGGTTTTTATATGGATGGGGGAGAGATGAGGGAAAGAAATGAGCTTAATAGCAGCCTTTTATCCCCTGCATCCGTGGCTGCCCCTGTGCTGCCGGCATGGGGATGGTCTTTATGTTGTGCTTTAAAAGTCATTTATGGTGAGGTTTCAAACTCATTTATGTTGCGTTTAAAAGCTTACTTATGATGGTTTAAAACTGATTTGCTAAAGCTGCTCTTTTTCTGTCCCCCTTTCTAAGTGGGTTAGAAAGGGGAACACGGGCTGGGTGAAGCGATGGGATGGGGCCAAGTACCTCCCCCTGAGGAGCAGGGAGGTACAAACGAGGGATGGGAAACACTTGTCCATGGCTTTGTTTTACAGCTTTAAGTGAGTTGAGCTCTGCAGGGGGGGTCTGAACACTTGTCTGGAGAATGGGGAGGTCTTGGGGTGTCTCTATGGCTGCCGCCATGTCCTGGCCACCACTGAGGATGGGCAGCTGGAAAGGAGCTGGGATGGGAAGGACTTAGTGCAAAGGATCATTGTGAGCATCGGTACTGGAGCTGGTGAGTTTCTGCTGCTGGGACCTGGGGGGGGGGGAATTGAAGAACCATAAGGGAAAACCTCCAACCCCGCCTCATTTTGGGCCCCCTGATGGTTTGAAGGGAGATGTTGGTGTCGGGGTGAAGAAGAGCCGGGTTCCTCACAGGGATACAGGGATGGGAGGGATGGGGGCATCACTCACTCGGGTATTGTCTTGGAGGACATCTCCCGCTTGTAGGCCAGCTGGTACTTGAGGCTCTCCACCTCCTTCTTCCACTGCGGGAGGTCCCACTCGTCCATGGTGGCCCCCTGGGGCTCTGTGGGGCTGCAGATGAGGATGTTGGTGCTGCATCCCATGGCCACATACTGCCCTGACCCCCCCCCCCCCCCCAGCTCTGCACCCCATAAAGATGGGATCCCTCAGGTTTCCAGCCCTATGGCGGAGCAGCCCATGGCTCCAGGAGGTTTTGGTGATGCTGCACTTACCTGTGGGGTACAAGGCCAGCCCAGCACAGGATGGGTGCCCAGGGCTGGCCTCTCGTAGATGTGGGTGCATGCATCTGGCCAGATTTGGCTGCAATTGGGATGGTTCTATTGCTTAGGGTGGACAGTGGCAAAGAGCAACCAGGGGCCATTGGGGCATGCCATTGTCTGTCCTTCTCCTGAGTGGACGTAGCCCAAAGCAGGATCAGGAGGGGTTTTGAGCATCCACATGGCTGGGTAGATAACCCTGGAAACAGCTCATGTGGATGGGCATCTGATGTGGGGAGCAAGACAAATCATCACAGACCACCTCGGCACCCCCATACAGTGGCCCTGGGTGCTGGATAACAGTGGGGACAGGCACGATGGGGAAACCGAGGCGCGAGCTGTGACCATGAGACCTGCAAGCACTTGGCTCCTTGTGTCACCCCATGAAGAGGGGCATGGGGACCTTCCCTTGCCATGACCCCAGACCTCCAGCATGCAGAAGCACAGGGCAGCACCCACCTTTGCACCCGCTGCGGCTGAGCCCCAAGGGTGCCCATCCTGCACCCAAACCAGGCTGAAGCCCCCATTACAGGGTCAGGCAAGGACTGATGTGCGGGGGGGGGGGGGACACGACACACACTATATCCTTCCACGCACCAGCACGGCTCAGATCCAGCCACGCACTGGCAGCTTGGCATCCGCACGGGCTGCCCCAGCTCTGCTCCTCCGCAGAGCATCCCTTGGAACAACATCCATGCTCGGGAAGAGGGCGAGCGGCCAGTGCGCAGCATCCCCCCTGCACGGCCTCCCCGGGGCTCTCCTGGAGATCAGATGGGGAGCAGCATCCCCATCCCTTGCTCCAGCCAGCCCAGCAGCAGCATCCCGCGCACGGACCCTCCACCTACCTGTGCTGGGGAAGGTGTCAGTGGGCAGCGGGGGCCGTGTCCGTCCCCACCGGCTCAGCAAAGCCCCGGCCCTGCCCGCGCTGCTCCCGACGCTGCCGGATCCTCTGTGTAATCTATTAATGCACGGCTGGTCCAGCTGCCTCCGACACGGCAGGAGCCGGATAATGGGAGCGTCCTTCCCCCCCCCCGCTGCTCCCGGGGGATTTGGCTCCGATGAATGTGAGCGACCAGGATGGAGGCAGCGTCCTGGTACCCAGCGGCAGAGCGGCTGGAATGGGGTTACCGCAGCATCCACCATGGCCCTAAGGGGACAAGAAAGGCCCCAAGGGGGGGGGGGGGGGGTAACGCGTGGTGGGACACAGCGGTACCCCAGGGAGGCCCTGCCTGCATCCTGCATCCCTGCAAATGCCAGCCCTGCCATGGCTTTTCTGCAGTTGCTCCTGGATTTTGCGGTTCTTCCCACTTCCCTGCTGCTGGTGGAGCCAAGGGGATGCAGGGGGTGTACCCAGGGAAGAGATGGTTAAAGAAAGGGGATGAAAAGAAAGTAAATGCCCCAAAGTGAGCCTTTGGAGATGAAACATATGGCGGGTGAAGGGGCAGGGTCAGCACAAGGGGAACAGGGCAGCAGTGTTAAAAAAGCTATTATTGTGTTACTTGGAGGGACAAAAGGCCACTGGCAGTTGGTTTAGCTGAGTAAAAGGAACATAATTGATGGAAAAGCAAAACCCCAAAGAGAGGAACCCCCCAGCCCCAAACCTTCATTAAATAAACACTAAAAAACCCTTAAGGGAAGATTTCCTGCCTTAAGAAACGTTTCCACAGAGAAAAGCTGCCCAAATTGAGCCCCAAAAGCCTCCCATTGCTGTCCATCCATGGGGCTGTTTGTCCTGGCTACAGCACCCCAAAGAGCTGAGGCTCTGGTATAGACAGGGGTACCTCTGTGTGCTGGAGCCTTGGCAAATCCCCCTGGTGTCCTGGGCATTCAATGACCTGGAGGTGAAATGCATGTATATGTTGGTTCTTATGGCGTTCTATGGTATATCTGCTCTAGTGGAAGGTGTCCCTGCCCATGGCAGGGGGGTGGAACTGGATGAGCTTTATGGTCCTTTCCAACCCAAACCACTCTGTCATTCTATGATTCAATCTCATAGATATGTGTGAGTGGATATATAAAATATAGAATATATATAATATACATAATTATACATATATATATTTTAAAATCTATCATCCATCTATCTATATCTATCTATATCTATCTAATCTATCTATCTATCTATCAATCATCTATCTATCTATCATCTATCTATCTATCTATCATCTATCTATCATCATCTATCTATCTATCTATCTATCTATCTATCTATCTATCTATCTATCTATCTATCATCTATCTATCATCATCTATCTATCTATATCTATCTATCATCTATCTATCTATCTAGGGTACCTCTCTCCATAAGCCTTTATAGCATTAACCCACTGGAGCCATTTCTACAGAGCAGCCACTCAATGCCCTGCTAACTGACCTGGCCAAAGGCAAAGCCCCACCAGGAGCCAGCCCTCAGCCTCCCCAGGCAATCAATAGTGCTAAGAGCCTCCCGGCAGCCTCCTGGAGCCACCATTCCTCTACCCTGCTCCAAGAGAGGATGCCGGAGCCTGGGCCTTGGCCAGGGATCGATGGAGCTCATTGGAGCCAAACGCTGAGCCCGTGGCACCCAAAGGAACCAATAAATGTCCCTTGTTAATTGCAAAGGCAACGCTGGGCTTTGCTTGCTGCAAACAGCCCCACGGTGCTGGGCTGCTTGGGGTGGGGGCAGCTCAGGGCACCCTGCCCTGCTCCAAACCCTCTATTATGTCTATTAAGGAGGTCAGCGATACCCAGCGCTGAACCAGAGATTATCTGCCTGTTGACATCAGTCATAATCTCCCCGTGCTGCCTTCAAAAGAGAATGGGAAAGGCCTGGGCTCGATGATAAACTGACCCTGAAGAGGGGTGGTTGGAATTCTGTGGATTTCCCACAGTCTGACGGCCGAGCAGGGCTGGGGCAACACATGGTGAATTTAGGAGCCCCCATTAACAACAGAGGTAAATGCAGGGGTTCACTGAGCTCATCCCAGCTCTACCTGGCCGTGGCATCCTTGGAAGAGGCAGGGAGCCTTGTGGATACGTCTGCCCATCCCTCAGGGGGTCTGGGACGGACTCGGCACAGCAGATTGTGGGGCTCCCATTAGCCACCCCACCAGCTTTGTAGATTAAAGTATTATGAACTCCTGAAGTTGTACAATATTAATGACTGCAGCCATCTGTTAACCTGGCAGCCAGCAACGAGCTGGGGCTTTACTTTGCTTAGGCCAGTTATTAAAAAGGAGTATTTTTGGTTGGGCAGGCAGCTGGAGGAGCACAACTCCTTTCCATCCCAGGGTAGCCGTGCGATGACTTGCATCCCATTCCTTAGTGCTCTCCCTGCATTATTTAGGTGCAAAGCAGGGAAGGGCAGCTCCTGAGGCAGGAGCTGAATGGACGGGATGCTGTGTGTGACATACGTACCCTGTGCTACACCATACAGGACCAAAGGTTGTCATCTGAGGGTGTGGGACTGCACTGGCACCAAGTCAGCAGCCCTCATTGCTGTCCCTGGGAAGCAGGGGTCTGCCTCAGCCCCAGCTGCTAACTATGGCTCTTTGGGATGGTGTTTTAGATAACTCGGTTCTCTGGTGCACGCTCCAAAGGGACAAAGTCGTTTTGGAGGTTAATCAGTGTCCTTGGGAGAAACGGCACCAGCACTCACAGCAGCCGAGGTGGGGACGGGTAATGCAGGCAGAGGCAGGAGGTTTGGGGATGGCCCTGAGCATCACCCCCAAGTCACTCGAAATTCACCCCCAGCCCTTTTACTTTATGAATTGCCCATTGTTCACGTAGCCAAGAGGGCACAGCTGCCCCTGCCATGTCCTCTGCTCGGAGCTCAGCCTTGGTGGGGTGTGCATCCCCATTCCCCCATGGGCAGAGCTGGGAGAGCCACCCAGGGTCACCAGCAGCACTAGCCCAAGGCATTTACTTCTTTGTTCTTTATTATACTGAGGACTTCCCCCTGAGGCCCATAAACAATGAGTTTATTGGCAGTGACTTTCAGCAACCCTACCCATAATCAACCAGCCCCCAGGTAGGTTGCTCACTGCTGATCACAACCTGGGCAGGTACATAATGCTCCTGAGCCAGACAATGGCATTCCATCCCAGGCTTTATCATCAGACAATTCCCCTCTTTTCAGATGAAATTGTATTTTCAATGCAGGCACTTAGTTGCCAATGGTGGGTTCAGTGTTTGGCAGCATGAGCCGGGCAGAGACTTGCTAAAATGGTCGATTGCTAAAATACAATACGTGGATGAGGCAGCTCTGGGTGCCCATTTGCTTCTCCAACCTCTGTATTTCAATTTTTCATGAGCCCTGCTCCTCTCACTTATACCTGGAGCAAAGCAGACAAGATCAGCCTCCGATTTACCTTCAGGGCTACATTAGTCACGGTTTCAGGGCACCAGGAAGATGTTTTGCACTGTGGTCAAGTGTAAGAACTATACCTGCATCTACCCAATCCATGCCCAAAGTCAAGCGTAGATAGTCAGAGAAAGCCTTTTTCTCATACATAAAAGATTTTATCATCACAGGGAGGATTACTCTATAGATAAGGGCTGCTATAATGCATTAAAATTGAGAAGTAGATAAATAATGAATAGATATGCTATTTACTTACAGTAAATAAGGTGTTCCTAACCCTTTCCTTGTGATGGTAAATCCAGGCTGGAAGGGGGAACAAAACCCCTGCCCTCACCTGCCCCCTTCTCCTGCACAAGGTGACACCCAGAAGCCTACATCCAGTCCAAGTTTAGTGTAGTGCTGGGGCTGCCTTGGTTTCACTGTTCCCTTTTCACACCCACAGTGAAACGACAGAGCATGATGTAACCATCAGCACACCCAGGGACTAACAAACTGGCTTCTATTGGAGAGCTGGGAACAGGAGAGCAGCCAGGAAACATCATAGGGCAGGAATGGGAAGTTCTTACGTACCAGGGCAAAGCAGAGAACATGATACAGGGCCTGTGAAGATCAGCATTTGCAAGTCCCTTCCCTGTCTTTTGTTCTCTCCCCATTGGACATAACAGGAACAGGGATCTTCTACTGCTCAGGAATGTGAGGTGAGGAAAGGTTATGTAATTAGAAACGTGCACGAAACCCGTCTTGGAAACTGGGATGAGATGACACACCAGTGGGTCTTCCAGGGCAGCAGAAGGAGCTGTGGCGTAGCCACCAGCAGAGCCACATTCCAGAGGCTCAAGGACCCTCCCTGACCAGGCTTGTCCTGCCTGAACTTGGACAAAGCACCCATTCAAAGAAAAAACCCCAACCACACCCCCCATAAAACAGAGCTGACAACGACTGCATTTCCATAGAGTTTTACTGGAGACTGTGTCGACTCAAACACAGGGCCCAGATGTACAAAACTTTAACAGCAGCAGAGTTTATTTAGGACAACAAAAGCTGCAAAAGACTTGAATGTGCAAAATAAAACGAATCACAGATGATGATTTCTTCTGCTGCTGCTGCCTGCCAGAGCAGATGCAGGCAGGTATCACAGCAGGGCAAAGGATATCAATCAGGCTTGAAATGTTTCTTCATTTCTACCTCCATAGGTCAAACATTAACTCCAACTTAGCACTAAAATAAGGCTTTGAAAAAACCGGAGCCATCAGCACCCCCTAAGTCACCAACTGCAGGAAATAAAACCAAATACAACCCGCGTCCGCATATGAAACCTGTGCTATTTGCTAACAAAACAAGTTATTCACTGCATGAGGCCTCCTCAATCTGCTTTCTTGAAGCAGCAAGAACCCTTCAGTTAATGCCCTTCAGCCTCAGGAGCAGGTTGTTTTCATAATACAAAACAAAAAGGGTGTGCAAACAGCATTTCAGGGCATGCTGTCACTCACACACCTGGGCAAAGGCAGGATGCCTTCTTTTAACCCTCTGCTCTCTTCGCAGCTCTGCCGCAGATGGCTCCCCCGTAGCACATCTGCATGACAACAGAAATAAAGACTCATGCTTTGTGCTTCACCTGCGTTTCCCTCCCTCATCCTAAACACCGGCCAGCATCTCGCTGTAGAACGGCTTTTTAAGGAAACTGAAACCCATCCCCATGCTTCACGCATGGACCAACAAGAAAGGAAATTTCCTCAACACATCCGTTGATGCAAGGAACGCAGCCTGCTGCTCCCCACCTTCACCTAGGATCCCATTTTGGATTTGTCTGAGGATGATTTGTAGGGACTCCAGAAGAGATTTCTCACATTGAGACAACTTGGGAAATATTCCTGAAGATTTTGACAGATTATTCTTTCTCAAACAGGCTCGTGAACTTCGAGATTTCGTGATGAGCTGCAGCGCCAAGGGGCAGGTTCTTCAGTCGCTGGGAAGGAAAAGAAACAGGCAGCATACTTCAGTGATTTTTATAATGTCATTATAAATATCAAGGACATATGACATTAAATAGAATCATAGCCTAGTTTGGGTTGGAAGGGACCTTAAAGCTCCTCCAGCTCCAACCCCTGCCACGGGCAGGGACACCTTCCACTGGAGCAGCTTGCTCCAAGCCCCTGTGTCCAACCTGGCCTTGAGCACTGCCAGGGATGGGGCAGCCACAGCTTCTCTGGGCACTCTGTGCCAGTGCCTCACAGGGAAGAGGTCTTCTTTATATCTTATCTAAATCTACCCTCTTTTCATCTTATCGTTTGATACATGACACATTAAATGTTATATTTAAATATCCAACTGATAAGTAATACAGTTGTCACTGATACACTTTGTTGTTAAATTCAAATACATAGAGATACTCACTGCATTGTGAAAGAAGTTGCAAAGATGCTTTGCCCAAGGACACCTGAAAACCAGATACAGAGTCTTAATCCATTTTCTCATAGGGATGCACCTGCCCTCAATTTCAGCCACTCTGAGTTCTGCATTACTCAAGGCTTTACAAAAAGGCCAGTCCAACAACCCACTTTAACTTTCAAATAGAAATGAAATAAGGTATTTTATTTTCTCTGCTACACGAAGCAAAGGCTAGAGAGAAGAAACTGAAGAATTTCAACTTACCTGCCCATGATTTCCACTTAAGACAGTTACCAAGAGGTGAATTTTCACCATTACTCTGCTGCCAGCAGCTATGTGTGAATTAAAAGTGCCAGAGCAATTACTCTGCCTTCTAGTATACAACCAGAGAGTCAATTAATTTAGAAACTATTATATCAATACATTAAAGTCTATCACTCTAAAGCCTAGAGAGCTTTACTGCATAACACAGGAGAGCAAAGATTACGCTCAGAAACAGCTCAAGGTCTCAAAAGTGACACATCAGTGCTTCCTTATCATTTGCAATCCAAACAAAGTACTTAGACTCTTTCAGGACTGTTTTCCCCACCCACTGAAGCTTTGTGGCTGCTGCAGAGCAAGTGGTGTCGCTTAAAAGACAATGACAGGCACATAATGCTGTCCTCAGTTTGCATAACAGTGCACATACATTCCTCAATCTTTAGGTTTTGGTGGGGGTCTACTCCCTCCCCACCATGTGAAGTATTTCTTACAAGCTTAGTACTGACCCTGTTCTCCCACTGTATTCTTTACAGATGCACAATGATACACGTTTTGAGCTACTTTTAATTATTTTCTCTAAATAAAGCCATATACAGTATTAAGCCTCCTTAGATTCCAGTAGCAGCTTTGTTCCAAGTCCTAATTAAGAGGTTTTTTGGTTGCTGTTGATGACAGTGATGCTTCAGTAACAGAACTAGACTGTACCCTGTGTAATCTTGATGACTGGTCAGAGCTGCCAAGAGGAGACCTGTTTTTCACAACACTGGGAAGTGAGGAGGCCATTTGGTTGCAACAGGTAACAGAACAATTTCAAGTCTACCCAGAGCATCATGTTCAGTACCTTTACCACTGCTAATGACAAGGAAGAAGGAAAACCAAGAATCAGCTGTGAATTAAGACAGTTAAAAGAAAACGACCTTCAGCTTTGCAACGCAATGATTCTCTATCTGGCTATGATGAAGATTCACACTTACACATGCAGATTCTCTGTGATAATACTCAGACTCAAGAGGCCAACGGATTGCATCTTCTGATGTCTGCAAGTCAGGAACAGGCAAAGGAATTCACCCACATACAGGGGACCAAGGTTTTGCCACCTAAGCGATACAAAAGCAGGAAACAGAACACAGCTGTGCAACAGCAGAAACAACTTGCCTACTAATTCCTGGCATCTTATCTGCGTTCTTGACTTATCCAAAGCCCTGGGCAGGCTGGTTTCAAAGAGCTAAGGGTCACATCTCTGCTAAACGTCACTGCTGCTCTTACTGTTTCCATAAGCAGACAGACTGGGAGCAAGTGTTTACTCACAGCTTTAGCATTGTTGCTTTCTGACAATGTAGATCTCTCAACATCAGGTTGACAGTGCCATCGAGAACGTTTTCATCACAGGAAAGATGGTCCAATAACAGCCTCAAAGCCCAAAAGTTACTCTAGGAAGAGACAAAGTAAGACCAGTGATTTAACCCAAGTGGCAATCATTTCTTAAAAACCAGCCTGAACTGAAGGTCAGCAAAGTTAAAGAGGAACAAATCAAGTTAAATGTGTCCAAAATCTCCATGTTGGTGTTACACAGATTTTAAATATCATTTGCTTCCATCTTTTAGAAGAGAAATCAACAGCCAGGACTCACCCCAAAAGCCAGGGCTATCTCTAAGAAGGAAGTCAAGTATGGAAGATCACAAAAAACCATCTGTTGTATTGCTTGTACCGCGACAATAAGACAAGCCTCTTGGTGTAACTACAGGGAGAGATGACAAGAAGAGACATGTATTTAAAAGCCCACTTTCCCCACTACTTGCCTACCTCATCCCATCAAATCAGCACTAAGTCACTACCATTCCAGATAGACAGGTTAGATGTCACACATGACATCCATGTGAATCTTAAGAAGGCCAAAAGAAAGGGGAATAGAACAGGTATTTATTTCTGGGAACATCAGGTGAAACATGCTATAAAGTCCTCCCAGAAATATGAAGCAGAAATTAAGAAATCTCCTTAGATGTACTGACTGTATTCAATACAGAATATATTCCAAGCCATTTTTAGACATGTTCCACTATACTTGAAACCATTCTTCAAAACCAGTTTAGAAATCCTGAGCTATTCCAAGTTTTGAGCCAAACACTGTGTCAAGTCTCAAAGTGTAGTCTCCTGTTTAAAACAAACTGTACAAGATCACCCTGTGAGAAGTTACAGACAGAATCAACTACCACCAGCCCTCCCACGTTATAAATGTATACATTTGGACAGTTATAAAGCAAGACTTGTCCTAGGCTGAAGATGGTGTCAGACCAGAACAAAACCTTATCGCTTTCTTACTTCAGATGTCTGCTCTAGCCTTTAGACTGTGCTAAGAACAGTCTTAGGCCAATTCCTCCCCCCAAAATCTTCAAGCTCCCTTTAAAAGCCTTTAATAATCCAACTGTTTTCAACACTGTTATATCTTCAAGCACAATAACACAAATAGTAAATTTTCTTATTGCTATGTGCACACTTACATCAGGAGAGAAAATAGAAGGTGGTAAAGAAACGTTAATTTTTGCCTTCAGTTCCTTCAAAGGGCCACAACTGGCAGCAAGCACCCCCTAAAACACAGGTAATGGGTCACAAGGAGAAGGATGGTCAGATACTCTACAAACAAACAGTGTTCAAGATGTTCTTTAATGTACTTTTACGTATTTTTCTTAAACTGCTTCGCTATCCATTTTGTTACCTGATCCATCTCAACAGTAAAAGATACAGACTCAGTATTAGGCATTGAGCTGCATGCAGAATTAATCACTGTAGTATTTAACACTCCTGAGTCACAACATTCTGCACATACAAGAGTATTTGAGGAACTGTAAAGTTAACCTTAGCATTTAGAAGAAGAAGCCAATGCCCACATCAAATGAAGTCTCATAAATCCAAGACAAGAGGTTCTCCCATTTCACTGGACTGTTTCAGTTACCTTTTGGAAGTCAAGTGGTGGCTCTCTCAGGAATACGGGACGTAGGTGCCCTCTTTTTCCCAGAAAATTGCTACTGCCCAAGATCATAACGAGGGTACTCCAGCATTTAGGCTGCAACACAGCAGAGCATTTGTTTTACAAAGCCAAACCTGTTCACAGAAGTGCAAACTATTCAGAGGTAAAAGGGTTTTGATAGTAAATCCTTGCATTAGGGAAGTAACTGGACAAAACAGGTAATACAGAGAAACACTCAAGGGGCCACAGAAGCACAGTTTTAAGAGACTCACATTCCTGTAGAGTGACGTGTTGCTGTAAAGGAGTTTCAGTGCCTGCTTAATCAGAGCACTATCTTTCAAGGGACGCCCTGTAAGAAGAAAAAAAATATCCAAACCATCTTATATTTCCTGAATAATCACAGATTAGGAAACCAAACAGGATACTTAGTTATAGGTATGTTTCTACAGAAACCTAACAAAGAGACAAACAAGTGTCTACAATTGTTTTACAGTATTTAGTAGGTTCCGAACTGAAGGACATCAGCAGTAAAATGCTATTCTGGAAAGCTGCAAAGAACTGAATACAATTTAGAGGAGACGACCCAGAACAAAGTCTTCATTATGTACATCACAGTGCGATACACACCGTCAGTATCCCACACTTTGAAGAACCCTGCTAGTAGCTGAACATCTCCAAAATAAATCAGAATACCCCTTGACAAGTAGCACACACCAGATGATCACAGTTATGAGTGCCTGACCTAGTGACAGAATGTAATGCACAGACTATGAAACCCTTTCCATCAGGAAGCTTTAATTCTCAAGGTCAAAACTGAGACATACCACAGTGCAAAGTGACACACTACCCCTAGAGTCACACCATGATGCAACAGGGAGATCTCTATGTTCACAGGTTGCTTTTGGCAAAACAGCTTCACAGTTGATGAAACTAGTCTTGTGTGAAGCGTAGCCAAATGAGGGTACACTTCATGCTCAGATATAAAGACATTCTTCCTGCCTGGTGCTATGGCCTATGCTTTAGTCCAGACAATTTATAGGTGGGATCAGAGTCCCTTAGAATGTTATTAATATTAATGAAAAAGTAAAAGCCATAATTAAGATTCTAAATGTGCTTAAGGAAGAAATCACACTTGCCAGCTGCAATCCAGAGCCCAGGGTCCAGTATATCATTTCCATCTGGGACGCTGCCTGTTCTGAACATCTTCAGATAGACCTCATACTCAGAGGCTGTTAGGCGGCAGGCAGTGCAGCACGCGAGGTTGTTGACAGCAAACAGCAGGGAATGGGCAGCATCCATGAAGTTTCCAGATTTACACAGATAGAACGGGATTTTATCCTGCAGGTGGCTTAACCTGGAAAGAGAAAAGGGATGAGTATTTGGTTTTCATTAATATGAACGTTTTACTCTACATTTTATAGATCAAATTATGTTTGACCACTAGTGAGTTACACTGATGAGGCAGAAGTTAGTTGCAATGCAGCATTGCTTTCACTTGGCAAACAGCTGCCAAAATCCTACTGCTTTTCATGCTATTAGTTTATTACACATTGAAGAGAAACAGGTTAGGACACATTCTTAAGGCAAAGAAATAATTGGGAAGATAAAAAAAAACACATTTACCCTTTGATATCATTGCACTTCACAGCCCTCAGGTAGCGAACAACTTCTTTATAGCTGGGGAGGAAAGCAAAAGATAGTAGGAAAAGCAAGGAAGTGGAAAGCTATATATAGGTCAATAAAACATATACTACAATTAATGAAGCAAAACAATAGGTTTTCCTACATAAGATACATTGCACAAGACGAGACATAACTGGTAGAAAGAGACAGTTGGAATGAAGCTCCAAGAAGCCACCCACTGATTATATCTGCACTCTGGCAAAATAAAACAGGAGGCTGCTTTTCAATTTAATTCTTTAAGTGGACTGTATTCTTTTAAATGCAGACTTCTGAAGACCCAGAGGCCAGAACACACTTTTTTGGCCAGCTTCCACCTAGTCAGCCTTTAGATGAACAGAATTTGTTTTAAACATCAACATCCAAAACCTACTGGGTGTACAGAAACAAGGAAATGATCCACTTCAACATTCTTTTTCTGACCCTGAAGCATTCAAAGGCCTTGATTCTGCTTTGAAAAACTTCAAAAAGCTACTGGCCTTCCTGATAAGGAATGGGCACAAACAGCTTCAAACATGTCTTTGTTTTGCAGGTTTCCCCATTATACAAATCTCAGATGTTAGGAAAACACTACAGTGCAGTCAGCACCATGCAAAACAAATGATGTGTTCATAAAATAAAGATACAAAACAAGGCCAAACTGATCTTACTTCTTCTTGTCTACCAATCTCTCCACTCGAGCCTCTATAACAGAAAGCCATTCCCACAGGGACACTTTTCTTCCTTTCATTCTTCTTTGACCAGTGACGTTCTGGCCTTTTAACACAGTGGTCAGTAACACATGATCCCATGGCATAACATTCAAGCTGGAAGTACAAAAAGAAAGTAATTTTCAACCATGGGTTTTTGTACACCACAACTCCTTTCCCTTAAGCAACATGAAGATTTAGCAATGAAACATATGGACAACTTAGCCATAGGATCTACAACCAGAACTTTTCCTGGTAGGATAGGACAAATACAAAGCAGCCAATACTGAAATCTCCCTATAAAACGCTGATGCCCATTCTATACAGCTGTTTTCACATCAGGCAACTGTATAAAAACACCTTCTCTAAACAACCCGTGAAGAACATACCTGTTTGAGAAGCCAAAGCAGTGACATGGAAGTGAGATGGACTGAAAAAAGTTAATAAACTTTTCATGCAAGAATTTGGGGAAGTCACACAACACCAGCATCCTCTGAAGTTGGGTTGTGATCCTGTGTTTTGAAGAGAAAAAAAACAAAGAAAAATCAAATTCTCTTAAATTTGGAGGAATTACTATTAAGTTGTTGTGGGGTTTGGTTTTAATCCTATGGGAAGCTATTCTACACAAGTTCAGGGGCTTGGTTTTGGTTAAAAGTCAGACAGCTTGGATCTATACTTGACTTTGTGCTGTAAGATTTGTAGTGAATAACAGTATTGGTCTTTTATTGTTTTAAACATCAGTGAAACCAAGGTTCTGTGGCCTTAACTTTTAAAGCAATGATCAGCATTGAGTATACGGAGAAACACTGATGAATCCAAGAAGTAACCTGGTCAACTCAAGCTCCTGGCACCCTCACAGCTGCAGAAAGCATTTCCCTCTTACCTGACCACTGGATATAACACAAAGGAGGGTTTACTCTTTGAGAACTGGGTGAGGGAGACAAAAAATTCCTTTTCTTTTTCTTTTCAAGAAATTTAATTCAAGAATAGCGATTTAAAATGAAAACTGATAGAGAATTTAGGTTACACCTGTCATTACTTTCAAATGAGAGGTGAGAACATGTAATTGTTTTTGAGGGCTCCTGAAAAAAAGTTAATTCTTAATTCATTAACCTTCTGGTGCAAGTGAATTTTGGGTTAAAGGTGAAATATAAAGCTAAAATGAGAAACGAATTAAGCCAAGTGAGCTCGATGTCCTCATTCATCAGCCTCTAGGGAACAATGCGATGTTACATCCTTGACTACTCCATCCCAGTGGGATACTACAAGGCTGCTGTTTTGGTCTTTAACAGATCACTATCTACTCTTTGGCTTACCAACCACAAGTAGCCACCTGACACCACCTTCTGGTCTAGCCTTGCAGAACACTCCTAGAATACTGTCAAAAAGTAATCCATCTTCTTGGCTTCATGTTATTCCCCTTTGAAGCAGCACAGAATGGTTTGAATATTTATGTGGCTCTAAATAAAGCCAATATTGCCCTTGTCCTTCACAGAAAGGAACTAGTATTCAACAAAGCTTTTAAACCCCCTGATTTGTAGTGTACAGCTGTAAAACCTGACAGCACGCTCATGAGGCTGACTGATGCACACCATTTGTATTCTGCCTGTCCCTACCCATCTGCAGTCTACATGCAGGCAGCTCTTGCTCTGCTCAATACCTAACACACCACAGTGAGGTTGTGCTCCCTGATAAGGAGCTCCTGATGCCACAGAACCAGAAGATTATGCACCTGTGCAGGTTTACTTCTGGCTTCTAAGAGCCAAAGCATTCACTTTCTTTATGCTTTTGAATAGAAATCATCTGAAATTTATTTTAAATGCAAGCAGAAAGTCTGCACCCAGCAACCACCCCTTTGTCCTCTCATCATATGGCAAGATAAGTCTTACCTTTGCAGCAGACAAGGGACAGCAATCTTTAATGAAGATGAGTGACCAAAGTTCTGCCAGTTTCTAAAAGAGGAGGATAAAAGCCCTAATTAATGTTTGCCTTGTTTTCCTGCCTTTGCCCTCTTCTCTATAATCAACTCTTTAAGAAAAACCCACCTTGACTTCTCCTTTATAAAAAGCCTTGGTTTTAAGCCCCAAACTACATTGATTTTCCAGTGCAAAGCTCTGCAACCTTTGTTCAAGCTAGACAGTAATCAAGCATGAAACAGCCAGGATATAAACAAGAAAATAAACAGCACCAGTAGTAAAGGCTGAACTATCTAAACTCTGGTTGTATTATGTTTCATGTAGTCCTCCCAGCTGACAGGGCAGCCTCCAGGCTTAGGGAAGGCAACTAAAACTTATTACCCAAGGAACACATCACATCCTCCCTTCCTTCCAGGTCTGAAGCAGATGTTTCTTCACACAGTGCAGCTTGTGCACTCTCCACTCAGGAAAGCTCCCTTGCCCCTGTGCCTTCTCCTGGGGAATTAACCCCACCAGCCACCATCTGCTGTCTATCAGCCTCCCACCTCCCAAGTTCCCATCTCAAATTCCTTCCCCTTGTTGGAGATCATCTCCCCTCCTCGTGACTCAATCCTACTTAACTTCTTCCTCTCACATCCAACCTTTAACCTCCTCCTTTCCCCAAAAGCCCTCCCCATAATCAGTCTCATCTCTCCCTCAGGTGTGCTCAATTTCCTCTCACTGTACTGCAGCCAGAGCTGTGAACTTTACACCATTCTTACCCTTAATAAATGGAAAACCAGAACTCTTGGTCTCCTCCCTCTGAGGAGCAAAGGAAGATCACACACTAGAAGTGGAACTGGATACTTACAAAGCAGGGTCTTTATGAAGTGCTATCTCCTTAGCTGCTCCCAGAAACATGACAGCAGTAGCTTTTGGATTCTCTTTTTCTGCCTGATTTAAAAATCTTGTTACCAGTGTAAAAACTCCAGAATACCTAAGAAAGTGAAGTGGTCTATAAGATAAAGTGCCTGCAATGATGGACTTCATAAACAAGTGGCAATTACAACCATTCTACAGTTTGAGAGCAAACTGACTTGCCTCTCCTTGAAAAGCCTCTCTAACCATTTAATAGCTCATTGGCCAAGTAAGGTCTTCTCGACTC